GAATACATGAGTAGTAATGAGTGGTTATAGTTGGGAGCTGGAAGGCACATCCATGATGGGCTAATAAGCTCCTTTTTGTCACTTTCAAATTTTATGAATTTATGAATATTTAAAATTATTTCTGCTAATTTCCATTATGTTGTCCTTAATTAAAAACTAACTACTTTTACAGTAACCTTCATTTAATTTTAATAACTGCATACTTCAAGAAACTTTTCCATTTAGTGAAAAGATCAGTATAGGTCTACAACAAGTTGAAATTTATTGACTATTTCATCTCATCACACTTAATATACATAAAACTGTTCAACAAATACTTCTCAAAATCTCATGCAAAGGTTACCATGAAGTCAAAAGAAATCTAGTTCCTGCACTTTTCTAAAAATAATAAACTTCACATTTTTTTTACATGTCTAACAACGAAAACAAACATTGATACCATTAATACTTGGTAAAACTACATAATTACAAAATTGAGGAAAAACAAGACCAAACAAACATCTTACTGCTTTAAGAGTAGATGGACGGAATCCGTGATGCATTGACATAAAAATTTCTCTGTCACTTTTGTCAATCTCCAAACGATTCCATATGGTTTCCAATTTTTCTCTCAGTTCTGCACCAACTGTTTCATTCTCTTTGTACCGAAAGTGTAGCTAAATGGTAATAATAATAACGGAGGAAAAAAAAACTTATCAAAACTTGATTAAACAAACTGAAATGCTGTAACTACATCTATAGTATTATAATTTATTTGCATCAATTTCATATTATTCAATTCATTGCACATGAAATAATTCTTCTAGACCCAGATCCAGGTTTGATTTGAATATGATGGATGCTTGAATTTGAGACCCTAAATGGAATATACATTATTAATATTAAACAAGAAGGTCCATTTTATATTGTTATAATACAAAAATAACCCTCAGTCAAGCTACTTTTCAATAATTCATTTTCTAAAATGTTTTTTTATGTTCTTCTACATTAATGATCTGCTAATAAGTATAGTTTAAAGAACAAATATATTGTGAAGTAAAAAAAAAACAACTAATGATATAGAAGTTCCAAAGCCAATGTTTTACTTTTTAATTGCCAATTTCACCACACTAAACAATCATATAAAAAAGGCTGTAAAGTTAAAAAAAAACTCTCAATAAAACTTAATTACAAGATGATCCTAAAGTGGGTTGAGTTGTAAAAGTAAAAATTTAGCATAAACTGAAGTATTTGGTACAACACTTTTATAAAAAACAACAACAACAACATTCAATTGTATTCAAAAAAAGTTCAAAGGAAATCATTTTACTTATGTTTAACAAAATTAAATTTTAGACTTAGTGTAAATCTGAGAATATGGCAACAAAAGTGCTAATCATGCTCTTTAATTTGTCTTAAATCGTAACATTTTGTGTGATACATCTATCTTTATACAACTTCACAGATATATATTCTGCAAAACACTATGACTATATTCAGAAATATTAAAGACATCACCCTTTTCAAATGCTGACCCACTTTGACATTAGCATTAGAATATTTTATTGCTAATCTTAAAAGCAGCAACATATAAAATGATTAAGAGATGGGTTACTATGATTGTAGTTTATAGTGCAAAACCAGGTAAATAGACCTGTTTTCAATTGATACATACTAAAGTTTAGCAAACCTCTACAGAGATTTTCCAGAATTGGAAAAGTTATAAACCAAAACTACAAACAAAAACAACAAAAAACATGCAGAGATTGAATATGTCATATTAAAATAATTTTGGAGCCTCATCACAATGTTACTGTCCATCATGCTTTATCTGAAAATCTTGAAATTAGTCCTGCAGAATATTTCTTATTGCAAAAGTTTCTGTTGTAAGGTTGTCATATCCAAAGCACATCCGTCCTCTCTGCTTGTTTTCCATAACCCACCTAGTGTACAAGGGTTTCCTAATGCCCATTTCAATAGTCCAATCACACAGAACTCATAAGCATTGCATTCAATGAGTTGCAAGGAATAGCATGAATACCTGTTTCATTTTCCATTTAATTGAAGTATGAGACAGTTGAACAGTCATGGAAGCAACTTGTGTTGCTTTTCTGAAAGGAGATCCTTCTTGATTATGTTGTATACTGTTTCATGGTGCATGTGGATGGCTTTTGCCACTGACTTTGCTTACCACATGTTCCAAGTCTCTTTCTGGGTGGTCCTAGTGTCCAAGTTGATCCATTGGACCCCAATCCCATGTTCAAGAAATGTTAACTACAATTCCAAATTTACTATGTGTACCAACACAAAAAATGACAAGTTTTGAATAAAATGCAAAAGTCTGTCATATGCAAAAACTAGATGTGTTACAAATGTATTTGTACTCAAGAAGTGTTTGTGAACTAATGATGTCAGCCTGATTGATTGAGACTCTGAGGAGTTGGAGTGCAAGGTGATGTTCACGTGAAGAATAAAAATATTTTTGTCCATCATACAGTTTGCGTAGCATATTTGTATAACCTCTAGAGTAGAACCCTCAAAATGTATAATCTAGTTTTTTCAGTATCCATATATATCTTATCTGGTATTTCTTCTTCTCTACTACAAAATGTCATTAAATTAGCATTGTAGGTTGAAATGAATAGTTCATAATTCTTACATTAAATGCATAATACCATGGTGAATGGCACACTGCGAAAGGTCATAGCATGCACATTTTGACCCCCACCTGTGCACATAGGGTTAAGTTCAAAAAGTATCCACATCTTGAAAATCCTAGCTTCCCAATCTAAACACACTTCTATGATCTGAATTTATGAATATTTTGTGCTAAAAAAAAAAGAGATGTTACACACCTTTCCCATAATGGATACATTTTCAGTGCCATCATACATCTACAAAATGCCAAGCAAATAAAAGTAGTTGTGATGCATTCTGTTCCACTTTGATTGTTTAAATATAACATAATCAACTCTCTGTATAACCTTATTATCCATTTGTGCTTAACTTGGTAAATGATGTGCAAGCACATTTAGATCTCTAACCAACAAATGGCATGATTAGTCATCACCAAACTAGAAACTGTTAAGTTTAAAGAAATTTGATCAGGATGCCAAAAGGACAGTTACTTAAAAGTGTGTTATTTCTAAGATATATTTTTTAATCTTGCTTGAAATCAATTTTTGTACGATTGTTCTTAAGAAAGGAGTAATGCAGTTAAAAATGCAAACTTTAAATGATACATAAATTAATTAAACAGAACTCAAGATCAATAACAGTTCAATTTAAGTTATACACATTTCAAACAAATTTTAATTGGTATATATCTTTGTTTTAGTGTCCAGCATAAGATGAAGTATATTTCAAAACATACGGAAAGGTTCAATTTATTGCTTAGTCCATGTTAGAATGAATGATTTACACTATCCCTTCAACTTAACAAATCACCATTTATAGACAATTTACTACTTATTCACCTCTTCATATAATTCCTTTACTGCTTTCATGTTCTCCTGAGATAATACAAATGACGATTCCTCTTCACAAACAACTTCACATTCCAGTTGAGTGTCAGGGGTTGTCTCCAGCTCTTCCATGAGCTTAATTACTTGTTTTCTGAGAGCAAGGTACTTGGCCAGCCGTCTTTCCTGTAACATTATAGGCCCATTTAGGTTACTAACTTAAAAAGTTTATTAGAAGTTCTCCTTAAAGACTACAAAGATTCTAATAAAATAGATTCTTAGGTAAATGTTTTTTTTTAAAATGACTCCTTTAAACTACCAGTGATTTTAAAACAAATTTTCTAACATGAAATAAAGATAATTAATTCACTTAATACAGAGTTGTGTAGTGTGTGTGTGTATATATATATATATATATATAT